ATGGACCAGTCCTGCAGTGTGACCTTGTTACCAAACTTAACACACCAGGGCCCCTTGCCGATTCCAGTGTTGCCTCCTCCAGAAAGCCCTCCCTGTCCTCCTGTGACGACGTGTTCTTGCTGCCCATTTCCTTCTTGCTTGCCATTTATCGAAGTGCTTGATGACTTTGTGTGAGTATAAAATCATCTCCCCCTGAGGATGTAAACTGAGGCCTGGTGTGTTCTTGAGTCGCAGGAAGGAAACAGCACCTGGTTAAGTCTTAGATAAGGTACTTCTGCACTGCCTGCGAGAAGCGCACTGGCTGCGGGAACCGATCGCTCGCTAGCTGCTCTCCGAAGTTTCTCTTCAGGTCAGGAACAGTAGGACGGAGGGCTCGCCTTCGACGTGAGTCGCTCCCGGGGCATAAAAAGTACAATGCAGCTGGTGCTCCTTGAAGTCCTTTGTTAAAAGTCTGCCCTCCCTCCTTGGTCCAGGTTAGTTTTGGTCCCATCCCCACCGGGTCCGCGGTCATGCCCGACTGTCTCCACTAGGGTGCGCTCCGGGATCCCAATTCCCTCTGGGCAGCCGATCTGCAATCTTAAAGTCTGTCTGCTCAGGCTGGTCTTCTAAGAGAGAATGTGAACAGAAAGCCTGCAAGATTTGCACAGCCTCCTGCGAACCTCCAGGCGTAGTGAAATCTGCAATGGATCTTACCTGTCCAGGAATGAGGCAGCTTCCTTACCTTAATCCTCTGCGACCAAGGCCGGGTCGCCTAGGTAGATAGAAGACAAGGCTGGCCAACATCTGCGCCTGCTTTCGAGCTGACCCCGGACTTCAAAGCAGGGGAGCGCCAGATCGCTCCGTTTTCACAGAGGCAAGCCCTTTCGGAAACTTTCTCCTCTTCCCTCTGCCTTCCCTCCCCCCCCACCTCGGTCCTTATTTTCAAGTCTCCTTTCTTTTGGGATTGGGTCTTGCTCCCATCTAACTCATTAACTGGTAGAAGATAACCTTGAACTCCCAGTCATTCTTCCACCTCCCAAGTGTTGAGATGGCAGGTGTATGACACCACTCTAGAAAGGTATTTTTGACTTTATTAATTTTTAAAAAGTATTAGTTTAACCATTTTTTGAGGTGTTAGGAGGCAAACCCAGAGCTTTATTCATGCCAGGCAAGTGATTTATTATCCAGCATCCCGCATTTTTGTTTTATATTATTTATTTGGAACTGCAGGGTACCTGAGGAATAAGCAGGACACACAATGACGCATGCATTCACACATCTCATTATCACAATACTAGCAAGTGGATAGGACAGTGTGTTGCTTGGACTTTTCATACATGAACGTGACTGAGCTCTTCTATTAAAAAATCAGAGATTGCCGGGCAGTGGTGGCACACGACTTTAATCCCAGCATTGGGGAGGCAGAGGCAGGTGGATCTCTGTGAGTTCGAGACCAGCCTGGTCTACAGAGTGAGTTCCAGGACAGCCTCCAAAGCCACAAAGAAACCCTGTCTCGAAAAACAAACAAATAAATAAATAAATAAATAAATAAATAAAAATCAGAGATTATCTTTTTGTTTGTTTTTGTTTTTCGAGGCAGGGTTTCTCTGTATAACAATCCTAGCTGGCCTCCAACTCACAGAGATCCGCCTGCCTCTACCTCCCAAGCGGTGGGATTAAAGGCGTGAGACTATTTTTTAAAGGTTTTTTTTTATGTGTGTGTCTTTGTGTGTTCAGCTACCTGAGGAAGCCAGAGAGAGCCCTGAATCCCTAGAGCTGAGGTTGCAGGCATTAAGAACCTGGTGTGGATTCTTTGGAAAGCACGTGACCAACCACCTCCCACTTACTTTTAGGGTGTAAGCGTCCACTCGGGCAAATTTATTCTGGTTTGCTTTTTATTTGGCATTGAACCCAAGGCTAAAATATTTGCTCTACCACTAAGCTATACCATCAGTCTCTGTAAACATATCTGATGAAGGGAGCTAAAATTAAGTGAAATATACTTTTCTGAGACTGGGTAATTCAGACCGGTTTTAAACTCAAAATGCTTGCCTCAGTTTCCCAAGTGCTGGAATTATAGGACCACCCAGAACAAATTTTCACTTCAGCTATTCTTGACTTTCCTCCTCTGTTATTTTTTTTTCAGTACCCAAGTGTGCTGGACACTGTGTGGGAATCAGGGATCCAAGCTGAATTGATTAAGGCCATCTGAGAGTTTTCCCCAGCAGGAGGGACAGATGTGACACTCAGAACCAGAGGAGTCTTGGGCTTCTTTCTCCTCCCGCTTTCCACTACCCCTCTGTCTCCAGCCCCTGTGTTTCCCCTGATACAAAACCTGCTCATCACTCCCAAGATGGAAACATTCTCAGCTGTGGGCATGGCCCTGAACCCAGTCGTTTTCAACAGGGGCCCAACACAACCCAGAGCAAATGCTGGTCCTTGGGTGTCTTCCTGTAGTTCTTCAGTGGTGACATGACTCAGGTGGCCTCAAAACATCTGGAGATGCCTCTGCCGGTGGGTGGTGGGACGAGTCATCCCCCAACTCTCTGTGGAATAAGAGACTAGGACCCAAAACACTGACTACCCCTCTCAGCCCTCACACAGAGATGACAGGAATGGGGTTGAGGTAGAGAGAGAGCCATCCACCGTTTGCTAAGGGGAGTTCTCTGAGTCTCCAAATTGGGACTTCAAAGGAGGGGGCACCATTTGCAAAGTTTTTTTTAATTTTGAAACAGGATCTCATGTAACCTAGGCTAGCCCCAAACTCACTATGTGGCTAAAGAGGATCTTGAATTTTGGATCCTTCTACTTCTACTCCCCTAGTGTTAGAATTACAGGCACTATCATGCTTAGTTTGCAGTGTTAGGGCCTCTTATGTGCTAGACAGTTAACCAACGAGCTACATCTTTATCATACTCATATACATTATGTATACATCTGGGCATGGTGACACACACCTTTAATCCCAGAACTTGGCAAGCAGAGTTGTAGGACAGCCTGGTCTACAGAGTGAGGTCCAGGACAGCCAAGGCTGCAAAGTGAGGTCCTGGACAGCCTGGTCTATTTGACTTCTTTTTCTGCTTTACCTCCTTCCAGGACCGGAAATTGTACAGTTGTAGGTACAGCACTACATGTAGTGATTTTTGTATATAGATATAATTGGTTTTCTTTATACTCCTGTGTGGTTTTCTGTTTTTAAATTATTTTTCATACATACCCATTCTAGAAAGAGTCTATGTGTGCAACCAGAGACCATCAAGGGGCCAGGGAGCAGGTGGGCCAAGTCCCCTACGTTGTTGTCTGATTCCTGAGGAGTCACCAGCTGCGTGCAGGGTCCCACTGCTAAGTGTCAGCCAGACACAGTGAGCAGGGGTGCTCCAGCTCCAATGGGAGGAAGAGGAGGAGCTGAGATGGCACCAGCCATCTGGGGACCTGCTCCTGCCTGATAGGTGTTCAGGGACCTCAGGAAAGAACAACGTCAAGCTGGGCCATGGTGGCCCTGCCTTTAGTCCCAGCACTTGGGAGATCAAGACCAGCCTAGTCTACAGAGTGAGTTCCAGGACAACCAGGGCCACACAGAAAACCCTGTCTTTAACCCTCCCCCCCCAAAAAAGAACAATGTCAAGGCTGGAGAGATGGCGTTTGGCACTCTTATAGCAGACATAGGCGTGGTTCCCAGCACCCACACGGCAGCTTACATACATCTGTAACTGCAGTTCTAGGGGATCTGGCATCCACCCTCTTCTGGCCTCATGAGTCTTCTCTAAGCACAAGGAAGACCACAGCTCCACACTTTGGTACCTCTGAATCTTGAGAGGGTGCAATGCACCCCACACCTTACCCAAGCTACCTTTGTAATAAACCCTTCATAGCAAGAGGGCTCCAGCTGCCTAGAGAACAGGAGTTATGATTGAAGCCCAGTCCCAGGTGTGAGCCCTGAAGGCAGGCAGAGAACTTGGTGAAGGGTGTCACCAGCGGACACAACCCCCTCAGCATCTCCTCCTCAGGTCCAACAGTTTCCTCCCAACCTCCGGGCCAAGCCTGACATCCCCTTAGGCAAAGACTGTTCGAGCCACTGAGCACTATCAACATTCAAGAGCCAGGGCAGGGGAGAGCCTGCGTAGCCTGTGGAGGCCTTCTGACCAGCTGTTCTGCACAGCAGCCAGCGTGGACGGCCTGTCTGAGACCTCCTGGGTGCTATATTCTCCCTGGTAAGTGCTGGCTCCCTGGTCCAGCATCCCTTCCAGAGAAGAGCCAGTGGGTCTGGCCTGACACTAGCCTGCTGGTAAATTTTTCATCTCTTTACCTGCCTGGCCCTATCCATATGGGAGCAATGACACCAGCTGGTAGTGACAACACAGCATCTACATCATCTCTGCTTTCTTCTATTGAAGATTCCAAGAAGCCCACAGTCAGCTGGGCTCAGGACACCATGAACGTAGCTTCACCCTCTGTGAGCTTTTTATTGACATGGAAACAAACACAGGCTCAGAAGTTACTAAGAATAAATCTAAAGGGAAGCTACAGGCTAAGAGCAAATGCCCTCAAGACATGTCTGCCAAGAATATACAACCAGAAGTGGACCCCAAACTCAGACAAACATAGTACCAGAGAAGACATACGGAGGGTTAACTGAGACTCGGAGCACCAACCAGCGCCACCAGCCACTGGAGAAATGCTATTTAAAACCACAATGAAGCTGGGGGTGTGGCTCAGTTGGTGGAGTTCTTGCCTGCTATGAACAAAGGCCTGGCTTTGAGTCCCCAGCGCCACATAAACTGGCCATGGGGACACACCTGTAACCCTAGCTCTCAGGAAGCAGAGGCAGGAGTATCAGAAACTCAAGGTCATTCTCAGCTGTGGTGAGTTCAAGGCCAGCCTGTGTTCCAGAGACTTTATCATAGACAGACAAACAGGCAGGCAGGCAGGCAGGCAGATGGAGCCAAGGAGAAATCCCATGTTGGTGAAGGAGAATTCGAGGCCAGTTTTGGTTACATAGCAAGCTTCTCTCAGAAAAAGCAGTGCTTTCTTTGGCAGCACATATACTAAGTTTGGAACAGCGAAGAGAAGATTAGCATGGCCTCTGTGCAGGGATAACACAAAAAGTTGTGGAGCGGTCTGTATGAAAAAAAAACCCAAGCCGGGCATTGGTGGCGCACACCTTCAATCCCAGCACTCGGGAGGCAGAGGCAGGTGGATCTCTGTGAGCTCCAGGACAGCCTCCAAAACAATACAGAGAAACCCTGTCTCGAAAAACAAAACAAAAAAATTAAAATAAATACACAGAATGGCTGGGGTGGGACTCAGATCACTTGACTCATATTAGAGCCCTGGGTTAGATCCCAAACACTGCTAGACAAGCACAATGAGACCATGAACTCAGACACCCCCTCTGTGAATAGCTACAAACCTCTGAAAGTGTCATATATGGGCAAGTGGGACCATCTTAAAACTGAAGCATAATATTTGAAATATTTGCTGTCCTACTGGCAATAACTAACTGAATGACCCATGTGTCCACACAAAGTCACAAATATCAATTCTCACAGCAGCTCACTGGTCGAAGACCAAACTGAAAACGACTCTCATGCTCACCATGAACAATAAGCAATTAACTAGCTGTGGTTATGTCCACCCAATGGGAAGCGGCTGCTCAGGCACAGGAAGGAACCAAAGTGGACACGCACAGTCAGAGGCAGAGAGAAGTGTGTCTGTGTCTGTCCTGACTCTACTTATACAGAAGGGTGGGAGGCTCACTCTTGCCAGCCTGTCAGCTCAAGGGTCTCTATGTCCTCTCAGGTCCCCTTGGTATGCAGGGGTTTTCTCTGGCTTCCCTCATGGAAGTGCCTGCCCTGTGGCCCAGCAGAGTTCTCTCTATCTCTCTGTCTCTGTCTCTGTCTCTCTCTCTCTCTCTCTCTCACTCACTCACACACACACATACACACACAGAGCACAGCAGCCAGAGGCCTAACGTAAGTGATGGGAATCAAACTCTAAACTCATGGCTTCTGCAAGAGCAGCAAGCACTCTTAACCACTAAGCCATCTCTATTCCCTTCTTTGTTGTCTTAATTGTTCAAAACAAGCAATTAACTTGATGTGTTTCAGTAAGAGATACACCTCATTGGCTTCCTGCAGTCTAAATGAAGTGCTCATCGCTATCCCAAGGGCCCGGGCTTCACTCCGCCTCTTTACCTTCAGGCAGAGCTACATGTGTGTGTGGTGGCATTGTTACACATGCAGTAGATGCTGTGTGCAACTTGGAACAGATGAATCCACACCAAGGCTGGTATCACGTGTATTCACCACAGCACATCTTCTGCTTTAGTCCCTGTGGCTGTTCCTTCGTTTGTGTGTGTCAGAGATAGTCTCACGTAGCCACAGCCATGGGCCACTACAGGCTTAGGCTTCGTATTTAAACCTGCTGCAGCTTGCCTGTGCCTGTCTGTCCATGCCCAGTCCTGTTTGTCTAGATTTGTCCCTGGGTGGTGCTGTGAGGCAGAAAGCAGATTTTTCCCCCTCTGAGGAGGGGAGGGGGAGGGGAGGAAGCATTCTCTGACAGTCTGTATGTCCCAAGGCTTTGAAGCAACACTTTACTGAATGACACAATTTCCTTTAATAGCATAGTCATTTTCTTGTAATAAACTTCTATTGAGGCACAGCCTTGTTCCAGGCAATTGTTGTGGCTTAATTTATGCACACACATGTGTACACACACACACACACACACACACACACAGAGAGAGAGAGAGAGAGAGAGAGAGAGAGAGAGAGAGAGAGAGAGAGAGAGAGAGAGAGAGCTCTGTGGCAAACCACCTCAGCAGCCAACAGGAGGAAGAAACTCTGTGGGTAGATAATTGCCTGGGCCAACAAAACATGGTCTGCATGCATCATGCATGGTGGTTTTATTACCAACCTTAGGGGGAAAAAAGGAGCCCTGATCCGGGCTACAGCAGGGAGAACCATGATGACCTCAACTCCAAGAAACCAGCCAGACACTCAAAGGACAGATGCTAGCCCGGCGTTGGTGGCGCACGCCTTTACTCCCAGCACTCGGGAGGCAGAGGCAGGGAGATCTCTGTGAGTTCGAGGCCAGCCTGGTCTACAGAGCAAGTTCCAGGACAGCCTCCAAAGCTACAGAGAAACCCTGTCTCGAACTTACAAAACAGTAGGGCTAGATGCAGTTCAGTAGCAGAGCATTGACTGGCTTACCATGCAAGGTTCTGGTTCTGATTTCAAGAACACACACACACACACACACACCCCAAGAAAGAAAGGCTGTTATTGAATATACGTGTTAGTCATCTTTCTGCCAATGAAGCAATCATCTGAGGTTGCAGCCATGGTCCGTTGGCCCCATTGTTTTTGGGGTCTGAGCAAACCGTGGCAGGAATGTTCATAGCAGCAAGGAAGCAAAGAGAGAGAATAAGGAGCGTGGATCCCAACGTTCCCTCCAAGGGCATGTAATTTCTCTGACGTAACTTCCTGCTACGGGTTATCACCTCCATCCCTTTGCACTGGGCCCTGTTAATGTGGTCTAATGGTGCCCTTTCGAATCACTGGCTTAAGAGGGGTTTGTTTGTTGTCTTTTGAGCGCTTCCCTTGTAGTTCAGGCTTGAACTTGCTATGCTGCCTAGGATGAACTAGAACTCCTGACCCTCCCGGTTTATACATTACTGGAGAATATATAAACCCATCACTTTGTGCTTGCTAGGCAGGAGCTCTATCAGTTGAATTCCACCCCAGACCATCTGATTGTTGAACAAGATCATAATAAGGCAAGAAGCCAGACACGGTGTGACTCAGACCCCCCACCCCAGCACCCCATATGCATAGGTGGGAAGGTCTGGAGTTTGAGACCAGACAGAAAGACCCTGTCTCAAAAACCAAACCAAAGCCTTTTGGCCAAATTAGTTCTAAGACTATTTTTCCTGACTAGGTGATAACTGGACTATGCGGGGGGGGTGTTAGGGCTCCAAATCTCTTTGAATACTGTACTAGTCCACCAAAGAGAATTTAGGAATTACTGGGTTGACAGACATGGCACATGCCTTTAAGCCCAGCACCTGGGAAGCAGAGGCAGGAGGATCTCTGTGAGTTGGAGACCAGCCTGGTCTACAGAGAGAGTTCCAGGACAGCCAGGGTAGGAAACACTGGAAAAACAAAAAAAGTGAGGACCTTTTAGTGGGGCATAGCTTACCTCAGAGAGGAGAGTGGGGAAGCAAGAGCTGAGACGCAAGAACTGAGAGGCATAAGGTACGGCGACTTTAGAGTTAGTGTAGAAGCAGCAAGACCCAACAGGCAGGGAGATCTCCCCGTTTCTCCAAACCACCCTCACTGGTTTGGGCTTCAGAAAGTCCAAGTTGCTCCTCTTCAGCACATGTGGTGGGGTCCTAAGACTCTCTCTCCCAACCTCCAGCTTGGCTTAGGGCCTACAGCAGGGCCCAGAGAGCCCTGGGACTGGAGCTGACTGCCCACTCACCCCCTGCGAGCCCCCGTGCTCGCCCACAGCAGTGGGTCCCATCGTGGCCATCTGCTGTGCACCAAGCAATTTTCGTGTGTTCCATCACGCTCTGCCCTCAAAGGCCCTGGCATTATCTCTGCTGGGCAGAGGAGCAAAGGAGTTCAAAGGGTTTCCGCAGTTACTGAAGGGTTCATGGCCACCAAGTGACAAGAGCTGAATGTATAGCATGCCTCTCCTGCTCCTGTGGCCACAATGGAGAATTCCTTGTTCTGTGTCTAAGTGGAAGAGCTAGGATCAAGAGAAATGACAGCCATTCCATACTAGTTGGTTTAGTTGTCTCTGTAGTTGTTTGCAGTACATGACTTTGCACATGCTAGACTAATGAATGCTCTTCCACTGAGCAATAGTCTCCACCCTTTGTATGTATGTATGTATGTATGTATGTATGTATGTATGTATGTATTTTTGGTTTTTTGAGACACGGTTTCTCTGTATAGCCTTGGCTGTCCTGGAACTCACTCTGTAGACCAGGCTGGCCTTGAACTCACAGATCCCATCAGCCTCTGCCTCCCCTTACTATTTGTTTTTGAGGCAAAGCCTCACTCTGTAGCCTAGGCTGGAACCCATTATGTATCCTATGCTAATCTTGGACTTGTGGGACTCCTCCTTCATTCTCCTAGATTTTGGAATTACAGGCATAAATGAGCATACCCTACTAAGGCTTTCTTATTGTTAGGACTAAAAAAAGGAGCTTGGCTTGTGTTTTATCTAAAAACTGGCAGATAATTCGGAGGGATTAAATGCAGCGTGGTATCCCCAAACCACTAAAAGAAATATAAGCATATACCTAGCACCAAGCATACTTTTCAACTTTGAACTAGTCCACTCCGAAGGGAAAGGTAGCCCCACCCACTCTTATGAGCTTCCTGTAGCCAGGGCCCCAGACATCAAGGGCACAGAATGTCTAGAGCAGCAATGCTACTTTTTTTTTTTTTTGACTCAGGTCTAGCATCCACAGAACGCTGGGTGGATTTGGGAGGATTTGCACACTGCTGGAATGACAGGGTCTGGAGGACATAGCAGAGACCTGAGCAGCACTGGCACATTCTCAGTGAGGGTTGGTAGAGGAGTGGGAGTAGCTATTGAACCCTGGGAACTGGCTAGTGCCAACTGAAACAGCCTTCACTGTAAAATCCATTCTAGCTCCCTACCCCTAACTCATTGCTGCGCCTCAAACCCAGAACCCTGTGCGTGCTCTCTATCTCTAACACCAAGCTACTTTTTGAAAAAGCTATTTTCATTAGCATATTATGTGTACATGTGTGTCTGTGTGAGGATGGGTATCCTGTGAGTACAGCTACTCTCAGAGGACAGAGACCACCCCCCCCAAGATGAGTGGCAGGCAGTTGTGAGCCACCTGACATGGTCCCCTGGAAGAACAACAGCCTTCGCTCTGTCCTTACTGGCTGTGTCCCCTCTCCAGCTCCCACTGAACTGATCACAGCCTGTACTCCACATTTCTTAATATGGAAGTAAAATAATATAAAATAGCTTATTAATATTTTTAATATTGACCCTATGTAGAGGTAATGCTATTTGGCACATATTGGATTAAATAAAATATATTAAAACTGCCGGGCGTTGGTGGCGCACGCCTTTAATCCCAGCACTCGGGAGGCAGAGGCAGGCGGATCTCTGTGAGTTCGAGGCCAGCCTGGTCTACAAGAGCTAGTTCCAGGACAGCCTCCAAAGCCACAGAGAAACCCTGTCTCGAAAATATATATATATATATTAAAACTATTTTCATCTTTTTTGTGTGTGAGAGAGAGAAAGAGACAGAGGGAGAGAGAGTTACTGGAGGACTTGGAGGTCTATTGTGTATGCTAAGCAAGCTCTTAGCTACTGAACCTTCACACCTTCTTTTACATGTTTTGTTTAAGTTGGCTACTAGAAAGTTTAAAATACCTTGCAGGGCATGATGGAACATACCTATCATCCAAGCACTTAGAAAGTGAAGGCAGAACAGCAAGAGTTCAGGGCCAGCCTGGGCTACACAATAATATCAAGTCCCAGCCTGGGCTATACCCTAAGTTCAAGGCCCAGCCTGGGCTACTTGAGACACTGGCTCAAAAAGATCAAAAGTAAAGCAAAATAAATTTAAGAAACAACAAAAAAGTTTTTTCTTTCTGTTGGATGGCCTGACCATCAGTATTGTATGCAGGTGGGCAGAAGGTTGAGCTCCTAAAACTGACTGCACTGTCACCTGGGAAAACCTGGCTCAGGGGAGGAATGGGGGTGGGGAGGACCGAGCCACCCCAGGTGCTGGAACCCAGAGCTGAGTAACGGGGTTGAGGATGGACACACACAAGCAGGAGAGAAGGGTTCTGAGGGAATGGCTGTCAAGTGGGGTGGGACCCTCCTGAGGCCATGCCCAGACTGTGGGAAGGGCTGTTTTGGGTGAGATACAAGAAAGGGTATTGCTTACTATCTGTCCTGGTTACTTTTTTGTGAACTTGACACAGGCTAGAGCTATCTGGGAAGAGGAAACTCAAATGAGAAAATGCTTCTATCAGATTGTCCGTGGGGAAGTCTGTAGGGCATTTTCTTGATTAATGATTGACGTGGGAAAGCCCAGTTTACTGGTGGCGGGTGGGGGGGGGTAGGGGGTGGGGGAGGTCCTCCATGGCCTCTGACTCAGTTCTTGCCTCCAGGTTCCTGCCTTCGTTTCCCTAAATGATGGACTGTGGTGGGGCATACAAACCAAATAAACCCTTCCCTCCCCAAATTGCTTTTGGTGTCTTTCTCACAGCAGTAGAAACCTAATGAAGACACCAGCTATGGTGATGCACATCTGTAATCTCCATACCTGGGAAACTGAGGCAGGTTTGAGGCCAGTCTGTGCTACACAGCAAGACCATGTTTTTCTTTTATCCTCATACCAGAGTCTCCTGGTTTTCTAAGTGACAGACTGCTGATATCCCCCAGGTACTCTAGGTCTGCCCTAGGCAGTGTCCTTGGTGTGTCCTCATGGTCTCTAGGCTCTGGCCTGGCCCCCAAATCACAGGCATGGGTGACCAAAGTCTAGAGGTCCCGTGAGGGTTGCATATCTGGGAGTTGGAGCCTTGTGGCCTGGCCTGCGAGGTCTGAGGCATCAGAGTCCCCAAACTTTTGCATCCACATTTAGATGTGAACTTTCCAAAGAACTCTGCTGCAGCCGTGCCAGCCCCGGACCTCAGGGGCTGTGCCAGGAGCACCACAGGTGCAAGTGTGACTAGCTGGCGGTGACAGGGTGCAAGTGTGAGAAACCGCGTGCTGGCAGTGAAGGGGGGAATGTGATGCCAGCTGCCAGCACGTGACTGGTGGTGTGAGCCCACAGCTTAGTTAGGCCAAATGACTGGTGGTGTGAGCCCACAGCTCAGGCCCCTTTACTTACTGCTGGGTGTTACTTAAATGTCACCTCCAAGATGCCAAAGGATGCTTCCCTGGGTCCTTCATTTATTTTAACTTACTTTTATTATTTAAGAGTGTATATGACTGTAAGTTCCAGTGGGGGGGTACCCGAGGAGACCAGAAGATGTCCAATTCCCTGGAACTGGAGTTCCAGGCTATTGTGAGGCACCATGAGGGTGCTGGGAACCCAACTGAGATCTGCAATGCAGCCACTGCTCCAGCACCGTCTTTTCTCTTAGTGTACAGTGTATGCTGTGGAGTCAACCTGAGGTTTCTCTGCAGAGCTCGGCCCAAAGTGTAGATGTGTGAGCAAAATAAATGTTGTCTGAAGCCCTTGAGTTTGGGGATGGTTTGTTACACAGCAGCGGAACTGGACCAGAAGTCTGGGATCTAAAACAAGCTTTACATTGTCCTTAGTGGTCTTGAGGTAGAGGCAGGAGGATGAGGTGTTCAAGGCTACCCTCGGCTACATAGAAGGTTGAGACTAACCTGAGCTACATGAGGCCTTGTCTAAAAACAAAAAGAGTGAAAAGAAAAAGAAACAAATAAGAAACACAATTCTTTGATTTTTCCCAATGAAATGGAGATATTTCTCAGTCACTCCTGAAGACCATTAGCAAAATAAATGAGATCATTGGATGATACAATCAAGATACTTCCAGCTGTTCTAGACAAAAGCATCAACCCTCCCTATATTTCTTCAAGTCAACATTGAATTTCTAGTTCTATTTTTTAGATTCATTTTTATCGATGTGTATGTGTGTATATCTGCATGTATGTATATATGGGTGCCCACAAAAGCCAGAAGAGGGTGTTGGATCCCCTGGGACTGGAGTTATAGGTGGGTATGAGTCACTCAATGTGGGTGTTGAGAACTGGACCAGGAACCCTAGGAAAAGCAGCCACTGCTCTTAACCACTGAACCATCTTTCCAGCCTTGCCTAGTAGCTTTTTAACCATGGTGTTGCACACTTTGATCCCAGTCCTCAGGAGGCAGAGGCAGAGGCAGAGGCAGAGGCAGAGGCAGAGGCAGAGGCAGAGGCAGAGGCAGAGGCAGAGTTAGAGTTAGAGGCCAGTTTTGTCTGCATAGTGAGTTATAGGACAACAAGAACTACACAGTAAGACTTTGTCTCCAAAAGAGTTGTGAATAGGTGGATGTGTGCTTGCCATAGTGGACATAGTGTATGAGGGTCAGGGGGCAGCTTTCTGGAGTCACTTCTCTCCTTCCACAAGGTAGGTCCTAGACATGGAACTCAGGTTGTCAGGCTTCATAGCAAACACCTCATCCTGCACGGGAGCTCCTTAAGCCCAGAGGTAAACGACAACAAAAGAGCTTCAAGAACTCCCTGAAGCTGACTAGTTTCACTAGGCCCCTCCCTACCAGAGTAAATAGAGCCAAGTTGCAAGGAAGACTCTCAGAGGAGAAAAACTGCAAAGATGAGTCTGAGACCAGCTGAGCTGTTAGAAGAGGGTCAGACCAGAGTCACCTGGAAAGGACATTCTCCAGCCTGCTGAGCTGCCTGCAGGCTGTGCAGTGTCCTTGAGGTTCCCAGCTTCTGTGAGCTGTCACTTACACTGGGGTGGGCCTTGGCCTTGCAGTTGTCCTTGAGTCATTTCTGCTGCTGTAAGTAACCCCTCACCCATATTCCTGTAAGTAATCCCAATAAACTTGTTGACTCACCAAGTTGAACTTTGGTGGTATCCGATCTGCAGTGATTTCCCTATCTGGGGTGAGTGGACAAGTATGTTTTGTCTCCCCAGGAAAAGTTTTATCATATAACACAACTTTACCTATTAAGCCCATCTTGCTGAACCCCCTAATAGCATTTTAAGCTCTCTCTCTCTCTCTCTCTCTCTCTCTCTCTCTCTCTCTCTCACTCACTTGAACCCAGGTTCTCTTCCATGTCAAGTATAAAAGTCTGCTACTGAACTGCACCCCTCATGGTTACTCCCTCCCCCAATAACTGTTTTGTTGATTTGGTTTGGTTTTTGAGGCAAAGGGTCTTAACTGTGTAAGTATAAACCAGGCTGCTGTGAACCTCCTGCCTCAACCTTCCAAGTGCTGGAATCACAGGCATGAGTAGCTATGCCCAGGAAGAGTACATTTAATACTTTATTTTCTTAAAGGGCTTTAAAAAGGAAACATACATTTTACTTTGTGTGCTGGAGATTGAACTCATGGCCTCCTTCACACTAAGCATTGGGACTCTGCCACTGAGCCATACATCCCTCCAGTAATTTCTTTTTTGTTTTGTTTTGAAACAGGGTTTTGTTATGAACCCCAGGCTGGCTTCCTGCCCTGAAATTTTCTTGTCTCAGCCTCCTGAGACCTGGGATTATAGGCGTGCACTCCACGACTAAAATGGAATTACGTTTTCATTCCACGACTAAAATGGAATTAGGTTTTCATCAGAGCACAGGCAGGCTCTGAATATGCCACGCCCTCTCTTCTCAGACTCCCAAAGATGCGCAGGCTACCAGATTGTCCCTTTCTCATCGCAGACACAGCCCAGTCTTCAGACCACAGAGGTCGGAGCAGAGCTGGTCCCCAGTGCAGCCACTACAGTGTTTACAAGCTATTTCTCCATACTTGGCTGATGTAACCCCAGTCCTCACCATCCTTCCTTGGGGACAATGACGGCTCTGCTTGTTTTTACTTCAATCTCTTGTTTTAAAAGTTGCCTTATTTATTTTCTCTCAAGCCTTTTCTTTTCTCCACAGTGGTGGCCCCCACATAAAAAAAAGCAATGTATTTGCTACTTTGGTCTCTTAGCTCCCGGGAATCAGGAGGGTTCTTGTTTTGTTTTGATTTGTTTTTCCTCCGTTTATTTTTGTTTAGTGTTTCTAGTTTGTGTGGAAACACGTCAGTGATATATGAGAAGCAACCCCGCACCGCCCAGGGCATCTCCTACTCCAGGGCCTCAGCACAATGACTGCCCCCTACACACGTGGGGACGCACGGATGTCACCAGGTGCTCCCACTTCGCCCATTTCAGCGGGTCCCAGGCCGCGAGCTCCCAGGTTGGAGCGCTTTTGGAAGAGAACGGAACTGCCTGAACCGTTGCCAAACTTAACTCCCTAGTCTTTGCTACCGGTTTCCTGGGGACCACGAGGTCCCTCAGTTCCTCGAGGGTGGATTCTTGAGCAAGATGAGAGTTGATTTCCGGGTCCATGCCTGGATTGACGACCGGTCAGCCTCCAATCTCCATCCTCAAGGAGGATTAGGTAAACGCGACCCCTAGGACGCACGGACACCCGCTTGTCCCCTATCCAGCAGGCTGTGCTGATGCTCCCGCGCCTCCTTAAAGCCGCAGCCCCGCCCCACCCGCCCCGCCCACTCGTGGTTCTACCCAACCGCCCGGTCCCGAGCGACACCGCTGAGCGTCACAAAGCCACGAGCCCGCAAAGAGCGCGCAGCCCCCAGCGTCCTGGTGCTGGATCGCGCGTCCCAGCTCCTCCACCACCACCCGCCACCATGTCCAGCGAGGAGCTGGCCCGCAAACTGCAGCGCCGGTTGAGACTAGAGGCGTTGGCAGAGACCGACCAGGGTGCCCCCCATCCTGCACCCTGCGTTGCCTCAGCGGGGAACCGGGATCCCGAACCGCCTGCCAGGGCGCCCACTGCCAGCGCGGATTCCGAGCTAAGCGCCAAGTTGAACCGCAGGCTGGACATCCACCAGGGCACAGCGCGGTCCCGCCGCAGCAAGGTCTTCAACCCCTACACCGAATTCCCGGAGTTCAGCCGCCGTCTCCTAAAGGATCTGGAGAGCATGTTCAAAATGTGAGCGCTCGCCCTGCGCCCCCGAGGAACGGGAGGTCCGGGACAGGGCGAGGGGCGGCGCGCCGCTAGTGGGACGGTGCGGGGAGGAGGTGCAGGGATCCAGGGGTGCACTAAGCATCTGGCTCTGAGCAGCCAGATCGTTCGCACCGGACTTCGTTGCGTGCAATCAGAGACCGAGCCAGGCTAGGGATCTGAGAGTTAGGATCCCTGTGTCCCGGGCAGAGCTCTAAAGTTCCCACTAAAAGCTCCTCCCTGGAATCCCCTGATCCTCGCCCTCTCCACTCACACAGGTCCAGAGAGTTGCTCTGAGCAATTTCTAGGAAGCAAACCTGGGGCGCACCTCACCCGCCAGCCTTAACTTTATCCCTCAGGGAGAAATTAGCTGGATTGTTCTATTATCTTTTAAAACAAAGGAGAAAGTTAATCCTTGTCTTCCGCACCGGGTCTGAGGGGTGAACCAAGACTGAGAACTTGGTTGAGTTCAACTCAAAGGTGGAACCAGGAGCCACCTGAGGGCGTCGCCTAGTCAGCTACCCCTTCCAGCCGGCTGGGTTGCAGATGCGGCTGACGTGGGACTGGATCCCGCTACAGGTCACTAGGATGGTGGCTGCTGGCGTCCGGATCACCCCTCAGAAGAGGAGAGCATACAGAGGCCCAGAGGGTGGCCTGCCACGTGAGAGGTCTTTTCTCTGGCCTCATTTCCCCACCTGAAGAGGGGATGCAGTAAAGACCCTCGCTTTTTTTTTTTTTTTAAGTTTTCGGTTTGTTTTCTTTCTAAGTGAGGTGTGGTGACACTCAGATTTCATTCTAACATTTGGATTTGGAAAGCAGAGGTAGACGATCTCTCTGAGTTCGAGGCCAGCCATGGCTGCATGATGACACTCTGCCTCCCCCCCAAAAAAAACACATTTATTTACCGAGTGTGTATGCGTGAGGAAGAGCCATGACACACTCGTGGAGGTCAGAGGACAGCTTGTGAGAATCGGTTCTCCCTGCACCGTGCAGGTGATGGGATCGAACTCAGGTGGCCAGAGCTGGTAGCAAGTGCCTTTACCGGCTTAACCATCTCGCTGGCCCCACCTTTGCCTTTTAAGGTCACAAAGTAGTCTGTACACCAAAAATGCCTCACCAAACTATTAATATTATTTCCAGAATTGGGCCCAGACCGGAAAAATGGCTGGGGGAGCGAAGGCCACTGGCCAGGTCATGCTTGGGCGTCTTTAGAAGCGCTTGGAATGTGTTTGCCCTCCGCAAGGAGGCTCTATTTAAAGGCACTGTGGCGAGCACCGCCTCCACTGCTCCAAGGTTTGCCGAGCCCGCACCTGCAATACTCACTGCCCCGACACCTCGATCTCTCAGTCCCTGGCTCGAAGCCACTGTTTTCTGGGTTCAGTCTGGGCAGCCCAGGAAGGTGGAGTTGGGACTAGAAAATTAGACTTGAGAGAAGGTGGAAAAGCCCGGTAACACACAGTAGCTTGACAGAGACCCCAGTGATGTACTTTGGGTTTTACATTTCCCGGGAAGGGCTGCTCTAGACTGGATGCTCACCCGTGTGGCAATCCCTCCAGCTTGCTCTGTGGTCTCTCCAGCTTCCCTTGCTTTTACTTGGAAACACTCTTGGAAGGTTAAGTTTGTTAGTCTGCCGCCTAATAGGAATGAAGTCAACCGTGTCTGGAGGTCTTCGGGGCCCAGCGATGTAAGGGGCAGGCTGTGTGCGAACTGGTGTTTCAGGAGAACCTGCAGCCTGAACTGTATGTGCAGGGCATTTCTACAGAGCTGTGCTGTCCAACTGAATTCTAGCTTAGATCTTTTGTCACTGCAACAAACTTAGCATAAACAAAGGGGCGGCATCTGGCTCCAAAAACGAAGCCAGGATCAGCTTCAGGTGTGGCTGGGTCTGGGAGACCGGGGTTATGATGGAGTCAGACATGTTTCTTTTGTCTTTTCTTCCCCACCGTTCTCATTCCCTTTCCTGTTTTTTACGTTAGGGTCTTTGAGACCCTAGCCAGCCTCAAGTTTCCTCTGTAGCTGAAGCTGGCTAGCTCCTGGTCCACAATGCTCCCATCTCTGACACAGGACCTCACTCTGTGGCTCAGGGTGGGCTTTCAGCTGTTGAAGTCACTGGTGTACACGTCCAGCACATTCTTGTTTGTTGTTTGTTTGTTTTCAAGTCAGTTTCTCTGTGTAGCCCTGGCTGTCCTGGAATCCACTCTGTAGACCAGACTGGCCTGGAACTCACAGCGCTCTGCCTGCCTCTGCCTCCCAAGTGCTGGGATTAAAGTCACCACTGCCTGGCATATTCCTTAGTTTCTAACACCAGCTTCCTCCCCCGCCCTTCTTTTCTGTCCTTTTTCTCAGGTAGCTCCTTCCATTGGCAGAAGTGTGGCCATAGCTGCTCCAGAAAAGTCCAGTGAGAAAGAGTAGTCACAGCATCTGCCTTTATGTGCCCTTTTCAGGGGTGTGTGTGTGTGAGAGAGAGAGGGAGGGAGGGAGGGAGGGAGAGGGAGAGAGAAAGGAGAGAGGGAGAGAGAGAGGAGAGAGGGAGGGAGGGAGAGGGAGAGAGAAAGGAGAGAGGGAGAGAGAGAGGAGAGAGGGAGGGAGGGAGAGAGAGAAGAGAAAGAGAGGGAAGAGATGGGGAGAGAGGAGAGAGGGAGGGAGAGAGAGGAGAAAGAGAGAGGGAGAGAGAGAGGGAGAGGGAGGAAGGAAAGAGAGAGGGAGAGAGAGAGGGAGAGGGAGGAAGGAAAGAGAGAGGGAGAGAGAGAGGGAGAGGGAGAGGGAGAGAGAGGGGGGGGAGAGAGAGGGGGGGGAGAGAGAGAGAGAGAGAGAGACACTATTGTTTGCTATTGGCTCTTAGCCAGGTGCTGTGCTCAGGGTGAAGCTCTCAATGCTCTCATTGACCAGGACTTAGCCTCATGCCTTCCCACCAGCTCTGCCTCCCTACCTCAGGCTCCCCTTGCCTGATAGAAACCTTCTAAATGCCCATGCCACTCAGTAATGAAAGTCACTCTCCCCAGTTCACCTTCCCATGGGTGCTCCTGCTGGGTCTTCCGTGCCTGAGGCAGCAGAAGTCCATTCTCTCCCACACACCTTATAGTCAGGGTGCCCCAGTCTGGGAGACTCACTGTGTAGACTCTCCTAATAACCTCTGGTTTTGGGTCTCGCCTGGCCTGCTGTCCCAGGGAGATATGAAGCCCTGACCAGCAGTGAACACATCTTCTGAAGGCTCCCGAGGTCGGATCTGCCCAGCTGCTCTGCCTCCACCTTGAGCTGCCTGGGGTGGTCAGCTGGCTCCCGGTCCTTCTCTGTTTATCCCATCAGCTGGTGTGTGTGTGTGTGTGTGTGTGTGTGTGTGTGTGTGTGTGTGTGTGTGTGTGTGTGTGTGCGCGCGAGCCTGAGCCTTCTTCCACCCTTCTGATAAAGCCACTGTGGCTTGGTGGTCTGTAGATCTGCTCTGGCCTGGCCATATCACCTATCCTTTAGGCTGGCCAGTGTTCTTTTCCCTCTGCCTACAATCCTGTTTGACTTTATTTACTAAGACAGGTTTTTTACTGTATAACCAGGCTGGCCTGGAATTCGTGTTATTGCTCCTGCCTCAGCTTTCCAAGTGTCGGCTCTGTGTTACCTTTTTCTTTTCTCTGAGACAGAATTATATATATATTGATTTTTCAAGAGAGGATTTCTCTGTGGCTTTGGAGCCTGTTCTTGAACTCCCAGAGATCCGCCTGCCTTTGCCTTCCGAGAGTGCTGGAATTAAAGGCGTGTGCCACCACCGCCCGGCAGGATTTCATATATCTTGGGCTAGCCTTGAACTCACCATGTAGCCAAGTTTGACTTTGAGTCTCTGATCCTCCTGCCTCTAGCTCTCAAATGCCAGGGCTACAGGTGCGTACCACCACATCCATTCAGGCAGTACTGGGGATCAAACCCAGGGCTTTGAATATGTTAGGCAAGTACTTCACTAACTAAGCCACACCCCTATCCTTCTGCATGACTTTAAAAGAAGACATAAAACTGTCCAGGTGCTCCTGAACACCCTCTTGCCCTCTAAGCCCCACACTTGGCCCATAGAGAGCTCGCTGCCTTGACTGTTAGCTTTGGGCCAGACAAGGAGCTTTGCAGAAGGGGGCTCCTGCGGCAGACTCCCCTGGAGATCAGTGCATGCGAATCAGCTCTTCCCTGCTTTCCTGGCCCTGAGAGTCTGGAATGCTGGGGCAAATTCAGGCCCCCCTTACCCCCCCTCTGCCCCCAAAGCAGCATGCTAAAACAAACAAACTAACAAAAAGCAGAATGTGCCAGCCTGCCTTCTGTTGGGGGACTTCCTGCCTTTTCCTCCTGGCTGACCAACCACTCTCGGAGGCTGTGAGGAGCATAACTGTGATCGGGACTTCTGAGGTTCAAACCTGGCCTTACCTCTGCTCCCCAGGAGAGTCCCTCTAGGAAGCTAGTTTAAGCTTTCTTTGTGTTTGGGTTCTCCTTCTGCCAGGCTGGCTGCCCTGCGGGGTGTGAGGAGCAGTTCACTGATGTTTGTTGGAAACGCTTGTTGGGTCAGTTTTAGCCACTGACATTCAAATCATACTTATTGCTTATTGTTATCATCGCTTTTGGAAGTAGTGTCTCAATCTGTAATCCAGGATAGGCTTGAACTCAAAGTAATCCTCCTGCCTCAAAGTACTGGGATTATGCGAATGAGCCAATACATGATTCACAGATTTTTAGATGGCTGTCATTTCGTCCCCATGAAAACTTGCACTGCCCTTCTTGTTTTATGGTACACTTCCTATGCTTCTCGAAGTGGGAGGTGACTGGCCCTGGGGGGCTTTTGCTTGGCTGTTTGTTTTTCCTTTTCCAGTCATTTGTGGCAGGATCTCACTGTGAATGGACCAAGGGCCCTCAGCACCACACCCAAAGACAGCCTGCTCTTTGAGCTGTGTTGTGGTGGTCTGGTCCTTCTGAGGTCAGTGGGTGGATCTCTGGCTCAGGGTCCTGCTTCCTTGAGGCTT